CAGGGAGCCTGATGCGGGGCTCGATCCCAGGACCCTGGGATCATGACCTGAGCCGAAGGCAGACGCTTAACGACTGAGCCACCCAGGCGCCCCTAGATCTGCAATTTTAAATCAAAACCATGTCCCCTCCCCACATGCATCACTCCTACTGAAATAAGCTTTTCCTGTATTAAAGGAACTATAAGACATACCTCATCAGCATACCTCATATCTCAACTTTGCCTTCACATGTTTAGCTTGGATACACATCTTTAATGTGTCTTTTTTTTTTTTTTTTAAGATTTTATTTATTTGACAGAGACACAGCGAGAGAGGGAACACAAGCAGGGGGAGTGGGAGAGGGAGAAGCAGGCCCCCTGCGGAGCAGGGAGCCTGACGCGGGGCTCAATCCCAGGACCCTGGGACCATGACCTGAGCCGAAGGCAGATGCTCAACGACTGAGCCACCCAGTCGCCCCAGGGTTTTTCTTTTCTTTTTTTTTAAGTAAACTCTATGCCCAATGTGGGGCTCAAACTCATGATCCTGAGATCAAGAGTTGCCTGCTACCAACTGAGCCAGCCAGGTACCCCCAAAACAGGGTTTCTCCAACCTTAGCACTGACTGATATTTTGAACTGGATAATTCTTGTGAATGGGTGGGGCATGCAGGTTGTCCTGTGTATTCTAAAATATTTAGCAGCATTCCTGGACATTACCCACTAGATGCCAGTAGAACTCCACCTTACTACAGTAGTGACACCCAAAATGTTTCTAGACACTGCCAAATGTCCTCTGGAGTGAGAGGGCAAAGTCATTCCCCACCGAGAACCTCTTCTCTTAATATGCTTCCTGCCTGGCTTTCTTCAGACAGTTTTCTTTTTTCTGAGCTAATGAGTTACCTTAATTTTTTCATACAGGACAAAGTGAGCAGACCCCCAAAAAAGGACTGGCTGATGTTTTTTATTGCCAAAAGAAGCAAGGATGCGAACTCGCACAAGTACTTCTCACATAGCTATCAGCAACAGATTCAGAACTGGGTTTGAATGCCATTCAAGCACTTACCAGCAGTGTGGTCTTGAACAAGTCACTTAACCTCTCCAAATGTTTCCTCATCTGCAAAATGGGAATAACAATATCTACTTTGTAGAGTTGCTATATTAAAGATAATTTAAGTAAAATAGTACTTATGCCTGATACACAGAATTGCAATAAAAGACAGCTATTATTATATTACTACCGTAAAGGTTTATAGCAATGAAGGATATTGCACACCCTCCACAATGCTTATATCAATACTCCAACTTCATTGTTCATTAGTCACCTGTGATGTTAAAAACTGAAAATGCCCAGATCCCACCCTCCAAGAGGTCCAAGAAAAACTGGCTGAGATTTTTTTTTAGGTTGAACTTGACTCTGATGTATATTCATGCTGTTGTAAAATTCTGCAGCATTCTAAGACCCAAGAAAGAAGCAATTCATGAAAATAACTGAACCATATAAAATATTTGTCATATAAAACAAAAACTACTTTCAAATAATGACGTTTTAACAGTTTATTTTGAAGGTCATTTTAAAAACAAAGTTAAAGACAATCTGAGAAAAAATTGCACAGAATACACTCATTAAATAAGTATGGTGATTAAATCAAAATAAGGGATATATGTTTTCTTCTGTAATTCCGGAAATAAGTTCTGTTGTCCTGAAGGTTCTTATACTTCCAAAAAGGGGGGAAAATCATGGCAATTAAAGCTGCCTCTTAATCATGTAAATCTACAGTAGAAACCAAATTTTTCTGTTCTTCCCAATAAGTCAGTTTCGATCTTCAAACTGTGCCTTGTTTTTTAAAAGATATGATGCTAGAAATTCAATGGGATTTGGTGGTCTGTAAGGGAAAAGAAATCCAAAATTTAGAAATTTATATTCTAAGTGTATTAACTTAAATGTATTGTTCCATAACAGAAACACATCTTTTTCAGATTAATTTTCATTTTATACTCAAAGGCCATTTGTGGTAAATATGGTTAAGTAAAACAGGCAAGTAAGTTAGTCAACAACATAGTTAAAAGAGACTGAAAGTTTTGTATGGCTTAAATCTGGTTATAAACACAATTCTAAAACACAAGTTTCAAAAATGTAATTTTTGACAATGGGATGACGATTACCCAGGGGGGATAATGACTTAAAGGGGTCATGAGGGAGAATTCTGGGGACCTGACAGTATTAATTTCTTGATCTGAGTGCAAGTTATGTGGATATGTCTAGATTCTGAAAATTCATCAAACCATACACCTACGATACGCACAATTTTTCCGCAGGTATTACCCTTCAATAAGAGTACAAAAACAATATGGGAAAATGGCTGTAGCATCACTGAGACAAGTGGATCAACACCCGAAAAACTAATCAAAGGATTCAATATTCATTTGGACAAGTACTGGTATGTTTCTTTTTAAAAAGGCACCTCTAGGGATGCCTGGGTAGCTCGGTCGGTTAAGTGTCTGCCTTTGGCTCAGGTCATGATCCCAGGGTACTGGGATCAAGTCCCACACTGGGCTCCTTGCTCAGCAGGGAGCCTGCTTCTCCCTCTGCCTGCCGCTCCCCCTGCTTGTGCCCTGTCTCTCTTTCTCTCTCTGACAATAAAATCTTTAAAAAAAAAAAGAAAAAAAAGGCACCTCTATTTTACTTCAAATACTTAAATCACTAATAGTTCTAATACTGCTACCACACAGTGCAACTGAGAAGTTAAACATATTTTAAAATCAAGAGGTAGTAAGGGCATCTGGGTGGCTCATTCAGTTAAGCATTGGCCTTTGGCTCAGGTCATGATCCCAGGGTCCTGGGTCTCTGGTCAACAGAAGCCTGCTTCTCCCTCTCCCTCTGCCTACTGCTCTGCCTACTTGTGCTTTCTCTCTCTCTCTCTCTAGCTCTGTCAAATAAATAAATAAGATCTTTAAAAAAAAAAAATTAAGTGGTGGGAGAATGAGGAACTGGAGGAAGGTGGTCAAAAGGAACACACTTCCAGTTCCAAGACGAGTAAGCACCAGGGCTATGATGTACGCTACAATGACCACAGCTAACACTGCTGTGTGACAGACAGCAAAGTTGTTGAGGGAAGGACCTAAGAGTTCTCATCACAAGGAGAATTTCTTTTTATTTCTTTTTTCCTTTTTATTGCATCTGTGTAAGATGATGGATGTTAACTAAACCCACTGTGGTTATCATTTCACAATATATGTAAATCAAACCACTATGCTATATGCCTTAGGCTTATACAGTGATATATGTCAATTATTTCTCAATAAAACTAGGAAAAATGTTAACAAAAGATATAGTCATATTTATCACTTTTCCATAAATTATTCTTGCTGAGAAAACAAGTTGAAAGATGAAAAGTTGGGGGAATCAGCTATTTAAAATCCTACTATGAAAAGGCATATTTAGGGGCGCCTGGGTGGCTCAGTCATTGAGTGTCTGCCTTCGGCTCGGGTCGTGGTCCCAGGGTCCTGGGATCAAGCCCCACATCTGGCTCCCTCCTCGGCGGGAGGCCTGCTTCTCCCCCTCCCTCTCTCCCCCGCTTGTGTTCCCTTTCTCGCTGTCTCTCTCTCTCTGTTGAAAAATAAATAAAATCTAGAAAAAAAAAAAAAGAAAGAAAAGGCATATTTAGAATTAATTTACAATGATCTCAAAACATTCCCTCAGCATTTTAAATAGTCTTTTGAACTGCCTAGACATAAACAATTTTTCACATAATATTTATGATTCATTTCATGAATAATTTTGCCAGAATTCCTTACTTAAAAAGTGTATTTACTAATAGCATGTTACTTTAAAACTTCAAATTTTTCCTTCTAGCATTTAAAGCAATATTCATAATTCCCCTGTATCGACCTTCTGTAGATAAAGAACAAAAAAATATATAAAAGATGCCCATATTTTAATTGACAGTATTAGAGCCAAGACATATCCTGCAGTCATAAACAAATTCTATTTTATACACATAACCAATATTTTTCTTATTGGATTTGCTTATACAAAAAAACTTAGGTAGAATCATAAGGAAAAAACATGTACAGAAAAAAACTGTAATGTTGCTAACAAAGAAATACAAATCAAAAGAGCTTGGCAAGAAAAGTTTATAATAATACTCATGCTGTTGATGTTATGATAGTGGAAGAAATGTAACGATAAACTTTTGGACAGAAAAGTGTTTTTATGTGTCAAACACTGTAATAGTCATGTTCCTCAAACCAGCAAATCAACTCTTGGAATTTATCCTAAGAAAGTAATTAAAGGGGTGCCTGGGTGGCTCAGTCGTTAGGCATCTGCCTTCGGCTCAGGTCATGATCCCAGGGTCCTGGGATTGAGCCCTGCATCGGGCTCCCTGCTCAGCGGGGAGCCTGCTTCTCCCTCTCCCACTCCCCCTGCAGTGTTCCCTCTCTCGCTGTCTCTGTCAAATTAATAAATAAAATCTTAAAAAAAGTAATTAAACAAAGTCAAAAGAGGCATGAAAACATATAAATTGCCTGCTAACCTAGATTAACAAAGGAAATTGGACCTAAGAGTTCAACAACAAGAAAATGGCTAAATTAATTGTGGTATTGTTATAATTAAATTATAATCACAAAGGCTATGCAGAGATATGGAAAAAGTTTTGTTATAATATTAAGTACAAAGGACATATAAAATTACATGTATACCATGATTACAAAGCTTTACAAATATGCAGATGATCTAACACTAGAAGAGAGAAATGAAAGTGTCTGAATGGATGATATTATGGCTGACTTACTTTTTTTTAACTCTAATATCCATAAATTTCTTATATTTTATAAATAACACAACTAATGATATTCCTTTTTTTCTCTTTTTTTTAAACTAGTGATATTTCAATTAGGGAAGTCTTTATTTAGCTTTCTCTGGGTACTCCATTTGCAGACACTATTATCTTACCTTTCTTTTGCAAGCACAGCAAGTCCCTGTAATAAAATAGGCACAACTGTCTGATCCAGGTAGGCACGAGTTGGCAAAGACTGGAGATCCACTTTCTGTTTTGATGACTTTTCTGCATTCATCTTCTCATTGTCTACTATCCTCTAGTAGATTCAAAAAACATGCATGTATATTACAAATAACTAGATTATTTTGAGTGGTAAACAAAAATTAATGGAAATATGACACTAATAGAAAAGACAAATCAATGACTAGAGAGCTGATATTGAACAGCAAATCTCTCTGCCAAAATAAAATCAGACCAGTCTCTAAATTCCATTTAAACTTTTTCTCTCTGAAGGCAACATAGTATCTCATTCTTTTATTTACTTATTTTAATTAAGTAGGCTCCACACCCAATGTGGGGCTTGAACTCAGGAGCCTGAGATCAAGCACTACATACTCTACCGACTGAATAAGCCACACACCCCAGTATCTCCTGATCCTACTCTTTCTCCCTTTCTTTTTGCCTGTTTAGGAGTAAATACAAGTGCTTTCTCTTTTTTTCATAAGAATACCTTCTTATACTATGCTTCAAAAATCTGGACAGGACACTAAGTAGCACTGAACCACACTGAGAAAGCTAGACCTGTTTCAATTTTTTCATCACAGTATCAAGGACAAAGACTCACTTTGGTACTAATAGGTCTGTAACACTTCTGTAACATTTGCTAAACTCTCTTCTTAACAGAGAGCAGGCTTCAGGCTCAGAGCTTTCCAATGGCAACAGAATATAGCTAAAATTTTTTACCACCATTTTATATTCACTGTTGTCATTTTTATGGTTATCCTCTATCAAAATTAGAATGCTTTTCCCTTTGTTTCTTTTTTAAAGAAATGCATTCGTGATTTTTAAAAGTGAACAGAATCAAGAAAAAATATTAAGTAAACGAAGGCCAAAAAATGGGGGAATTACTAATATGGAAAAGATCATTAATGTGATATTTAAATGATGTTTAAGAAACAACTTATACCTTCTACTCCTAAGAACCCCCAAATTTTAGGTCTTTGACATATATTCATCTAACATCCAGAGCCATCAAACACTGCTTTACTGAAAAACTTTGCATTCTTTTACAAATCAACCATTTTTTTTTTAAAGATTTTGTTTATTTATTTGAGACAGAGAGAATGAGAGAGAGAGCACATGAGAGGGGGGAGGGTCAGAGGGAGAAGCAGGCTCCCTGCCGAGCAAAGAGCCCGATGCGGGGCTGGATCCCAGGACCCTGGGATCATGACCTGAGCTGAAGGCAGAAGCTTATCCATCTGAGCCACCCAGGCACCCCTAAAGAAAATTCTTATTCATTACTGCCTGGCCCTTTTATATCTGGTGACCTATTTTCCACTATTATATTACTTTCCTACTTTCCTAATTTAAATGTAGAGATTTTTAAATAAATAGATTCTCAGTGATAGCCATTTACAGCTTTCAACTTCGTCCCTCATTTCTAGTTTGATGATATGTATCAGGCCTCCAATTTGTTAATGCCTTTTTGGAATCCAGTCCAGAAAAATATCTGGCTATAATATGTTATGCTATCCCTACCACCATTCTATGTTTCTAACAGGAAGTTATCAATCTTAAAATCCCACTATACCTTCTCCTAAATAAAATTTAAGCAAAGGTTCAATATTCTTCCCATAGGATCATCAGAATTAAGTAGACAATGTTGTCATTCTATCCAAACCATTTTTCCTTTTTTCAATTCAAGGTCTCTATTTCCTCTACTTATCTATGCCTGACTTGCTCTACTGGTCCTCCCACTAACCTACCTACCAACGTAATTCAAGAATTCACTCTATAACATATAGGACTTTCTACTCTATTTCTGTATTTGTTTACTAAACAATAACCTATCCATTAAGCATTCAAAGGGTAGGAATGGTTTCTATAATACAATTGCCAGCTACATGTAAAATACCTCATCAAAGTATAGAGAAATTTGTTTAACTGGTTTCTATTTCACCAGCTTACCAGAGTAAGTGATGTTCTCCATTCCCAGGGTATAATAAAGTTGAACTCGTAAGCTTACAGACTACACTTTTTAGGAAACTCTCACATGATTGCAGACTCCTCCCCAGGTTTGTGTGCATAACTAACAAAGGCCAATAGTGTTCTCCAGCTTACTTAGGCCAGTTGCACTAGGTTCTACCATTACATAATTTAAATATTACATAAACCAATGAAATACAAACACATAATGCAAAAGGGGTACACAAATTAGGTGGAATGCTTTGGAAAGATTAAGTAAAAACTGTCAAATTAGAGGCAGGTAAGATAACTGAAGGCTGGAGAACAAAATCATGAAAAAAGCATAGGATTCTACAAATTACTGCTTAAATGTCTAAAAGCATATTCTACTCTTAAAAAAACTTGAGACTGAAATGTGCAGACCATACATCACAGGAGTGGTTTGAGGAAGAAAAATGATACAGAATTCCAATCAGAGAACCCAATCCCAGAGAAAAGATTGGAACAGAAATATTAACAAGTTAATACAGATTAACATGTTTAAGTTTTAAAAAAACCATTCAGTGTCATTTATGATTTCCTACCATGACTCACTTTTTCATCAACCAACTAGATAAAAGGGCTTCTACTATACACACAAGAGAGCAGACTGATTTTCCCCCAAAGAAAAATTTTAAGCACACCTGAAAGCATTAGAGCAGAGGGTAATATAGCATTAAGGAAAAGTAATAGAGCGTTACGCTGGCTTTGAATCCCTGCCCCAAAGTTATTTCCCCTATAACCTTGAGCAACTTAACAAAATCTCACTTTTCTCATCTAAAAATGAGGTATTAAAATTAAACGTACCTCACAGGGCTTTGAGGATTATACAATTCATGTATTTAGCATGGTGCCTAGCACATGATAAGTGTTCGGTTAAGTAGCATGTGTACTGCCAGCAAAAGATACGCCTATTCTCAGCTGTTACTTTAAAAAGTATCAATTTCAAGATTGAGTAATTTAAGCCCCAACTCAAAGACAATTCAATAGAACACTAGAAGTAATGTAGCACTAGGCGGAGTACTATATTACTTCTAAGTGGTCTTAAACAGAGGGGTCTATCGGAATGCCTTAAAGAGTTTTTGTCAAATTTAGAAGCCAGGCTCTATCACAATTTAATCAGGCTCTCCAGGGCTCTTTATATATGAGATATATATGAAAAGTTCCCCAAGTGGCTCTGATGTGAATCACGGATGAAGAACTGCTGTAAGATGATAAACTATTGATGCTTTAATAAAAAATTACCCAATTAGTACTTAATCAAATGTTAAAATATCACAAAAAAGACTTGGGCAGATTAATGTAGGAGTTAGCCAAATAACCAAAATGCATCTGATGGAATTAGTATTTGTGGAAACTACTTTATAAGCAAGAGATCCCAATCTTTGCAGGTTTTTCCTATGCAAATTATATAGATCTGCAATTTTATTTATTTTTTTATTTATTTATTTTTTAAGATTTTATTCATTTATTTGACAGAAAGAGACACAGCGAG